CTCCTCCTCCTCCTCCTCCTCCTCCTCCTTCTTCTTCCCTTTCCCTTCTCTTTCTTTGCCTTTCCTTTTGCCCAGTGCTAGACTTTCCTGAGATAGATTTGATATTGATCAGGTAAAAGGCTGATAGTTTAATTTTCTTCACTTTTCCCAAAGTGGAGTCCAAGGTTTGCTGCTTAGACTTGGATTAGAAGTGATAGGAACAAGTCATTCCTTCCCACCTCTTACAATGCATTGTTTTTTACTTCATTTTACTGAAAGTAGGCACTGTGATCGCTCATCATATTTAATTAGATGTTCTGAAGATAGTTTGGTGTGTAAACTTTGCCTTTGTAACTTGGTATTTTTAAGGAAAGAGGTAACAGGAGGATTTTATTCAGCTCTACTAAGCAATTTGAATTTGAAGTGTGACAGGTTCTGATATTTCATAGTCATTGTCATGGTCATAAGCGGCAAATCATTTAAAATCATGAGGATTGAAGATCACAAGAAGCACTGTAGCGAGCATGTTCTGTCTTTTTCCATTTCTGTAGAACATCATTTTTATATAGGTGGACTCTTACTCTTCAGGGTGGTAAACTGATGTGGAGAGAAAATATGTTAGCTAACTTCATAATAGGAGGAAACATGGGTTTAGAAGTCTAACTCAACATAGAAATCCCAGAGGGAAACTCTGATTGGCCTAGATTGGGTTATAGATAGAAATTTTGGACAAACTACTAGAGCGTCAGGAGTAAGATCTAGGCTTGATAACTACTGTATGCCTATATTTTGTGCAAGTATATACATGTAGGAGTATAGGGCTTGTACCAGAAGAAGGTTAAGTTAAGAACCAATAATTATCATGGGATCTAGCTTTTCTTTGACATTTAGTATCTGATATACTTGTCATCTTTGATTAATCTATATCTTATTTGTTTACCTACAATCTTTATGTCTCTTTCATAACCTGATAAGGGCAGAACTAGGCATATGATTCATTTTGAGTGATTTTTAATTTTCTTAGACTATAAGCCCTTTGCTTCTCTCACCAACAAATTCTGACATTCTATGCTTTTGTATTATGCATATCTAAATGCATGCACATGCATGTGTGTAAGTGTGGTAGCCACAGAACAACTTCAGGTGCTATTATCAAGGTCCCATCCACCATTTATTTGTTACAGGGCATCAAACTAGCTTGGAGTTCACAATGTACAGTAGGCTGGCTAACTAACCACTGAGCCCCTGATCTCTACCTTGAATCTGTCTCCCAGAACGAGCATTACAAAAAAAAAAAAAAAAAAAAAAAAAAAAAAAAAAAAAAAAAAAAAAAACACCACCATGCTCATTTTTGCTGTGCATTCTGGGAATTGAAGTCATGTACTCATGTTTTCAAAGCAAGAAGTCTATTGACAGCTATCTCTCCAACTGATACATCCCATCCTTGGTGGTACATTAGTCTCAGATCCAGACCTGCACTGCTCGGATTTGTCTGGCTATTTCTTGGGGTGGGGGGCGGTTCTATTTTCACCCTTTATTTGGAACAACAAGGCAACAGTAGTTTTAGATTTTTAAATGATAAACATGGTGATAAGAGTGTTGAAAATAAGTCTGGCCTGAATTTGGAGAGTAAGTGATTTTCCAGTTTGGGGCTAGGAGAGAAAACAGGTACAAGATCATCTCCAAGGGAAAAGAGAATGCATACTCAGTGAGCCACCAAGGAATTTGGTTTCCACTCACTAAGGGCAAGCAGTGCAGTGCAGTGCAAGCTAACCATCCATGATCTTCCTCACAGCACATCCGAGTCTCCAATTGTCCAAAGTAATTGCCAGTACAAGAGAGAAAGCAACTCCAGACTGACTTGGCAATCAATCTGGATGACTAGGAAGTGTCCCCCAGCCCTGAAGTGGCAAAAATATTCAGAGTGACTGTCGGAGCAGTGAACCATTCGTGTGCTTCCAGTTATTATACAGTGCATAGAGACTGGTGAGGGTCAATGCTGCCAGGCAGATCACCTGTACATTTTTTTTTTGAGGTTTTTTGAGACAGGGTCTGTGTGGCTTTGGAGCCTTTCCTGGAACTCACTCTGTAGACCAGGCTGGCCTCAAACTCACAGAGATTCACCTTCCTCTGCCTCCCTAGTGCTTGGATTAAAGGTGTGCTCCACCAACTGCCCGGCTCCACCTGTACATTTATACGACATTCCCATCATGGTTCCCGCTGCTACTGGGTTGACATTATCATCTGAACCCTGTGTTTTCTCAATGATAACACCAAATGCACTATAGAGCAAAGCCAGAGAGCCTAGAATATTAGCCCAAAGTGCCCCTTTCCTAGTGACCATATTCAAAATCTGTACATTTCTTGGTTTGGACCAGGCCATGCTCTGAGTTTCCTTTAGTCCTAACCGAAGACCATTCATTGCCCCAATTGCAACCCCTGTCATGCAACATTCTCCAATGGTAGAGAAGGCTAGCTCAAATCTGCCTCGGGTTTTGTTAGCTCCAGTTGGCAAAATGAACTCATTGTTATCATGAACAAGATAGCGTGGATCAACATTTAAATATGGAAACAGGGGGTTTATGCCAGTTAGGAGAATGCCGGCCAAGTCAGCCTGCAAGTAACCAGCTCCTCCTGCTCCTAAGAAGCCAGCTAACCTGCTGGTGGTTTTGTTGCCACTTGCCCTGCCACCCTCCATGATGTCACAGCAAACTGCGGTGGGCTTCCCACCACCACCTCAGGCTAAGGTCCTGTGCTCTGCCATGGTCCCCACAGCCACGGTGGGAAGACCCACGTTGCTACTGCCACCTTCACATGCTCGTAGTATGCTATTTCTTAACCTTAAACTTAATTTCAGTTGCAAACCAAACATTGTATTCTTAGTTGCCAACTGTAATTTGTGGAAGAAAGTACATTTTCTGTAATATGGGAGTGGCAGAGTGTGAATCAGAGTCAACTTTATATAAGTAAGTTAAATGAGGTCAGGTATAATACTGTGATGAAAGACTGAGACCACAATGATTTGAGGGAAAATATGTCCTACATATTTTACCAAAATATGAGCTAAATAAAACATGTCTATGGGTAGTTTGAGTCTAGTGGTCATAGTATGATGCCTTTATTGGAAAATCCAGTGTTTATATAAGAAAATGCATATTCTCTGTGGAGCTATCTTAAAAATAATGTAAACTAACAGTATTGCTCACAAAGACTATCATAGAATGTAAATCTACCATCATGTATGAATCTGCCATCGTGCTGCAGATTGGAACATGGTACAAATTGATCTGCAATGTGTATAAGAAAACTAATATCCATCTTCTCAGAACCAAGGAGCTTAGGGGGAAAAATGAAATTAATCATGAAGGGAGAAACATTCCATCAGATGATACAAGGACCCTAGAGGTAAAATCCAGCAATCAAATGTTCTTTAGGAATCTGGCAACAGAGACAGAGTTATGATTATTTTCTTCCCACACAGTTGTTAAGAAAAGTAGAAGCATCTATAAACTATTCCAGTAGACATTTTCACAAGTAATTTTAAAAAACACATTTCAGAAATTAAACCAATTGACTGTAAGACACACAGAATTCTTTGAATGCTGCCTGTAACCCAGGCAGGCCGTGAATTTGCAGCTTTCCTGCCATGGCCTGTCAGCTGGATTACAGGCCTGCATCACCAGGTCTGCTTGGTACTTTCCTTACTCTACAAAATTTCTATATAGATATGGCCTTGCTCCTGAATCCCTTTACTTGAGAAATGGAATAACCCAATTTAATTGGAAGGGCATACCAAGAAAGTAGTCAATGAGTATCTTTACCTTATCAGTTCCAGCCTCTATGTAGTGGGTTTCATGAACTTAATGTGATCATCATTCCTCTTTTGGCAATCAGGGTAAAGGCTTGGGTCAATAGAAATTAAAAATCCTTTATAGTAGGCTTTTGGATATTTAGCCCATTTTAGCAAAAATTGAAGAGTCAATTTGTGAAATTTGCAGTTTGATTTAATAAGAAAGTCCTCTTTATAAATTGAAGTAATACCAATGTCTCTACTGTGAATAGTGTGTGTTTACCTGCTGCCTAGAATATATAAGCAAGACCTTGCAGGATCAGATCATGGTGTTTTTTTGTTTGTTTGTTTGTTTGTTTTTGTTGTTGTTGTTGTTTTAATCTTCATAGTTTCTTTGACAGCCCTGTTAGCTCACACCATTGGTCAATCATTCCTAACCTTACCATGACCTTCATCATTCTATAATCTTACATAGTCTATGTCTGTCTTAGTTGGGATTTTATTTTATTTCTGTGAGATACCATGACCATGGCAACTCTTTTAAAGGAAAGCACTTATTTGGGGCTGGCTTATAGTTCAGAGGTTTAGTCCATTATCATTATGGTGGGAAACATGGTGGCACACAGGCAAACATGGTACTGGAGAAGGAACTTAGACTTCTACATCTGGATCAGCAGACATCAGGAAGAAGAACTGTGTGCCACTGAGCCTGGGCTTGAGCATATGAGACTCCAAAGCCTGCCCCCATAGTGACACACTTCTTCCAACAAAGCCAAACCTACTCCAACAAGGCCATACCTTCTAATAGTGCCACTTCTTATAGGCCAAGCATTCAAGCACATGAGTCTATGGGGGCCATTTCTTATTTTTTAATTTTATTTTATTTTACAATACAATTCAGTTCTACATATCAGCCACTGATTCCCTTGTTCACCCCCTCCCGCCCCTCTCCCCTTCCTCCCAGCCCACCCCCATTCCCACCTCCTCCAGGGCAAAGCCTCTATGGGGGGCATTTCTATTCCAACCACCACAATACCTCTATGCCTTCCTCATTCTTGTGTACACACATTTTAACCCACAGCTCAGTACCACCTCTGTGATGCCGTCCCTCCTGTTTCTGTTCCCATTAGGCAGACTTAAACATTCCCTGTCAAGCCCTTGTAGACACCTCCCCCTCTTTCATATTCTCTCTCTCTCCTCTGTCTGCCTGTCTGCCTGCCTCTTTCTCTCTCTCTCTCTCTCTCTCTCTCTCTCTCTCTTTCTCTCTCTGTCTCTCTCTCTATATATATGTGTGTGTGTATATATATGTATATATATATATATTTCTATATATAATATATTTCTATCTATACAAAATATCTAGACAGATATAAGACAGATACATAGACAGATGATAGATAGATATAGATACATTTGTGTCTCTGTCTCTATATATCTCTCTATCTCTCTCTGTCTCCCTCTCCTCTCATGTGTGTGTATGTGTATGTGTGCGTGCGTGTGCGTGTGTGCGTGTGCGTGTGTGTGTGTGTGTGTGTGTGTGTGTGTGTGTGTGCCCATTATAACATCTCTCTCATTGTATATCATTTTCCTTTATTGTGCTTGGAACGTCTATTGAACAAATTGGAATATTATCATATTCCCAAGTCCATATATGATTCAGAGAAACATATGAATGACTAGTTCATTCACTGAGTTTTAATGCTCATAAATAAAAAATAGCATTTATAACTTACTCTTTTCTCTAGCTGTATACTACAGAATAGTGTATACTATAGACTAATGGAGTAAAACACAATAAAACAGCTAGATTTATTTTATTTCAAGAAATGATTCAAGATTCTCCTTCATGGATGAGAGAGACAGATAGAGAAAATCTCAGGAGCCCAGCTAAGGAAGCCTAGCAATAAATCAAGTCCAGATTGGACAGAGGAGGAAAGATCAGCTGGATATTGAAGGTCACAATAGAGCAATAGGTTGACTTTGGAAAAATAAATAGGGGTTAAAAGAACAGTTACATTTCACAGGTCAGCTAGGAACCTGGTCAAGGGTAGAAAGTTAACTGGAACCTGGAGTTTGAAGTTTAGCCTGGTAGACATCACAATCTCAGTGCCCTGAATGATAAATTGTTTTGCTAGTCCCATTTGCTACTTTGCTATTAAGTATCTACCTGGTACAAGATCTGGTTAAAACTGGATAGATAAGGAAATAGGTAGACATCAGACAGACGGACAGACAAGCAAAACCCAGTAGTACAGGACTGTAATCCCTGCTACCCTAGAATCGATGGCAGGAGAACCACAAGGTTAAGGACAACCTAAGCTACAGGGTGAGTTCCAGTCTAGCCTGAGTAATTTAGTGAGACTCTCTCTCAAATAAAAAGAAGGCTGTTTGTGGTTTAACATGAGCAAGATCCTAGGTTCAATTCCTAGGACTGTATAAAGTACATACATTGAGGTACAAATGGGCAGATTCCTCCTCACAAGGAATTTACATTATTATCTCAGTTGACCTTTGTATTTGTACTCCCTATTCCTCAAGAAGAAGCCATGACTTTTTGTCCTTTACACTTTCAGCCCTGATTGAATGTCAACTATCATTTAAATGAGCTTTTTAATCAGCATCTGTGGGTGCAGCTTTTCTTGATTAGTGACCCTGATTTCTCATTGATCATGGAGAATCTTACATTTGCAAGGCATTTTTATGTGTTGTGTTATTTTATCTTTCCAACAACCTACTGTAACACGAATTTCATCTTATCATATCCATAAACTGCAGTGTATATAATGCCTGCATTTTACAGACTCTGTCTAAAGTTTATGTGCTCCAATTCTTCGGACATTTCTAGAGAATAGAATATTCACTGTTGTTTTCCTTCTGTGTTGAGTGGCAATTGTGAGTCATCCTCTGGAATCTATGACTGAATTGTAACAGTAAAAAAAAATCTCAATTGTTTTGATTTTTATTTTATTCTATTGTTAACGGATTCTGTTGCTCATCAAATAAAACATCTAAAAATTATTCAGTTGAATACCAACTTGACCTTGAAACATTTCTATCTTAACCAGTCTGAGCTGCTAAAGCAAAGCACTTTATAAAGGGAATTCATAAACACAAGAAATTTATTTTTCACCATTCTGAATGTTAGAAAGTCTAAAATCAAGGCACCAGCAGATTTCAGGCATGGTGAGAGCAGCCTGTTTCATCAAGTGATACAGCCTTCTGCCTGTGTCCTCTTGTGTTCAGGGACTTACTTCAGCACTCCAGGACCTTGATAATAAGGGAATTAATCCTAACAAAGGTCACGTCCTTATAACTGTATCACTTTTCAATGACTCCACCTCCTAATACTTTGGTGACTAGGTTTTGAAGTCAAAACGATAAGGAGACATAAGCATTTAGATCAACAGTGTCCCAGATTGTTGTGCACTCACACCCCATCTATTCTGCTACATGTCTCTTGGATCTACTTCTGTTCATCTCTGCCTCCTATTTTCTTACTCCAATTTTTTTGTACTTCTGATCTCTCAAGTACATTTTAACAGACACTTTTCTACTTACACTGATCTTGAAGCATGAAATTTCTTTTCAAGGCACTTAGGAAAATGGAAGTACTTAGAATGTTCATGAACAGAATGTCTTGTGAGCTGCAAAAGTTAATGTGAGAAAAGCTGATAGAAGAGTCAGCTCATCAGAGTTTTTCCTCCTTAAAAAGCAGCTAGTTATAAGCCCTTCTTAAACAGAAAGCACAAAGCAAGTGCTCTCATTTCCCTGCTTAAAATAGACAAAATAAAACTAATAATTGACTTGTCAATTTACTGTGACTATTAATTCCCTATACACAAAGATGGCCTTTGTTAATTTAGGATGCACATTTTCTTTCCAAATATAATTACCTGACTATATATAGA